CCCCCGCCGCGGCCGAGAACCCAGTTGGGGTTGCCGAGGCAACGGCGCATCTCACCCCGCCCTGCTCCAGCCGGAGAGAGGGGCGCGCGAGCTCAGCTCAGCTCCGGAGGCCCCCACCCCCATCTCTTCCGCCGCACGCGGCTTTCAGCGCCTCCCTCACCTCCCGAGTCCCCGCTCCTCCTCACCCTCTCAAAGCACCCCCTTCTTCCTCCTAGCCACCTCCTCCTCGGAACCCGTCCCCCAACACCTCTCGGAGCCCCGTCGACGTCTCCATTCATTTCCAGACTCCCGCTTGGTCCTCTAATGCTCTCCTCAGCCTCATCCCCATCAGGTAGGTGGCTAGGACTCCCGGCTCCTCCCCTGCAGCTTTTCATGCCCCTTCCACCTGCTGGAGGGACACAGGTGTGGGTGGTGCTGGTGGCAGGGTTAGCAATGAGTGCTGTTCTCCACTGCAAAATCAATTCTAGCCACCTTTCAAGGTCTAGCTTGAGAGGGACCTCACTTGTTTATTCTTTCTCAGTCTACAGCATTCCAGGCCTAGAAAATGCTGGTACGTGGCTACCAAATGAATGAAGGATGTTTGCTGAGTGCCTGCCCTGTGGTAAACCCCAAGTTGGGGCAAATCTTCACGGGTTTTGTTTCTAGCCATCAGGACTCATGGCATTCAAGAAGGATCCTTGTGCAAGAGAAAAGAAACAGACTGGGCCTGACTTAGTGGCTCAGCCTGTAATCCCAACACTTTGGGAGGTTGAGGCAAGGAGATTGCCTAAGCCCACGGGCGTGGGCTCAAGACCAGTCCAGGCAACTTGGCGAGACCTCAACACTACAATTAAAAAAAAAAACCAAACAAACAACTTAGCCAGGCATGGTGGCGTACGCCTGTAGTTGCAGCTACTTGGAAGGCTGAGGAGGAAGGATCTCTGGAACTCAGCAGGTTGAAGCTGGGGTGGCCGTGAGTGTGCCACTGCACTCCAGCCTGGAGTGAGATTCCAACTGAAAAAAAAAAAAGAAGAAAAGAAAAACACACTGGACATAAATCCTTCCTCCAAAATCAAGGAATCCCCTGGAGCCGGTTTGCTCTGAGGACAGACTCCAGATGTGGCTCAGGAAAGTGTCCTCAGCCAGACCAGGAACCCTTCGGTGCCGGGCCCATCTTCCTTCCATTGCTGCTGGAGAGGAAATTCACATGCCACCTGGTGTGAATGGATTGCAGGGATGTGTTGGGAGACTCCAAAGAGGACAGCAGGGAATGGAAATGAGTGATGTGTATGGATGACAGGGAAAGCTCCCTGGTGAGGGAAAGCTCCCTGGTGAAGGAAACCCGATGCTTGGCCCCAACCACAGGAAGTAATAGAACACATGGGGCCCTGGTGAGCGGTGCCCTGTACAAAAGGTCAGCCACTAATGCAGCACTGCACAGGAGGCCTGAAAAGCAGTGTCCTCTAGAGAACTTGGGTAGGGGAAACAGAAAGCTTTGGGGACCCGCAAAAACAAAAAACATGAAGCCACTTGGAGGAGAGGAGAGAGCAACAAGAGGGCAAAACCGATGTGTCAAGATCCCAAAGAAGACTCAAGGGGTGCAGGTTAGAACCTGGAAGCTGACGCAAGAGTAACCAGCTCAGAGCATGCAAGACACAGAGCTGCCTTTTGGAGGCCATCAAGTCTTCATAGGAACTGGTTGGTTGCCGTGGCATCCAAAGTGACAGGTCTGTCCAGCGGGCCCTGAGTTCCGTGGAGGCAAGAAAGGAATCTTTCTTCCTTTATTTTTTTTGAGTTGGAGTCTTACTCCATTGCTCAGGCTGGAGTGCAATGGCATGCTCACAGCCACTGTGGCCTTGACCTGCTGGGCCCCGGTGATCCTTCTGCCTCAGCCTCCCAAGTAGCTGGAACTACAGGCATGTACCACCGCGTCTGGCTAAGTTTTTGATTTATTGTAGAGATGAGGTCTCGCCAAGTTGCCCAGGCTGGTCTTAAACTCCTGGGCTCAGGCAAACCTCTCACCTTGACCTCCCAAAGTGCTGGGATTATAGGTGTGAGTCACTGTGCCTGGCCAGGAAGGCATTTTTCCTGAGTGCCTGGATCACATGGTAGAAGGAGCTGGCCTGGGTCATTGCCTCTGGAGATTTAGGCCCCAGGCCTTAGGAGCCATGCTGCCCACCTGGACCCTGGAGAAGCACCTGGCATCTCAGTTCATTTTTGCCTCCTCACAAAGGAGGGGAAGAGAAGTTTTCCCAAAGGGAAACTTAGACTCATTTAATGTAGAAGGACCTAGATGTTTTTGGTTCTTTGGCAACACATACTTAAGTGGTTTAAGAATTTGGCCTGTGCCAGGCACAGTGACTCATGCCTGTAATCCCAGCACTTTGGGAAGCAGAGGTGAGAGGACTGCCTGAGCCCAGGGGTTTAAGACCAGCCTGAGGAACCTAGCAAGACCTCATCTCTACAATAAACCAAAAAATTAGCTGGGTGTGGTGGTGCACGCCTGTAGTTCCAGCTACTTGGAAGGCTGAGCCAGAACGGTCACCTGAGCCCAGCGGGTCGAGGCTGTGGTGGCCATGAGTGTGCCACTGCACTCCAGCCTGAGTGACAGCGTGACATTCCTACTCAAAAAAAAAAAAAAAAAAAGAATCTGGCCTCTGATAAGAGACCTGGGTTCAAATTCCGGCTGTTATATACAGCATGAGACTCTGAGGTAGGGCCAAAACCCTGTCTCCTCACCGAGGAGCAGAGAACCCAAATCCTGGCCCACCCTGTGCCTGGCAGGGTGTCTCTGAGTGTCTGAGAGGAGGCTCTTCATGGCTCTGCCACTCATGGGGGCGGGGGTGCTGTGGGATGGGGAAAGCCCAGCTGAGGCAACTCAAGCCCTTCCCCCAGGGGCCTCTCCAGTCCCTCAATGCATTTACGGGCCCTTTGCAAGCTGTGTAACTATGGGCCAGATCTCAGCCTGAGTCACTGTAATCACATGACAATAAAAAAACACCTGTGCCGTAAGATGCGAGCGTTGGTTCAATAATGCACCTCAAGTGCGTATCAGTGTGCCAGGCACATCACAGGAGCTTAAGGAAGGGCAGCTCTCAAATCCCACATCCTGCTACCAGGACCCCATGGCCTGTTGCTCTAAGTGTGAATGTAAGCGGTGGGGTAGACGGTGGGACAGACATGACTGGGCACGCGTGGGACCTTTAACAATCAGGGATCAGACGAAAGGGCAGGGGGAGCAAGTGGGCTCATCTGGGCCAGAGACAACCCTCGGTTCCAGAGGAGGCAGGCAGGCAGGCAGGCAGGCCGTGCGACGGAGGCCAGGGAAAAGACAGAGGAGTCAAACAATGGAGGCAGGAGGATGCAAGACACCATCAAGAGAGACACATGAACAGCCACCAGAGTCCAAAGAGGAACGAGAACCGGGCCAAGGTGGTGCCATGCTGAAGGGTCTCTGCTGGGCCTGAGCCAAGGTAGACAATTCCAGGTCACAGGGATAGGCAGACCATCTGATCTGATGACAAGACAGAACGCTTGGAGACCTCAGAGAAAGGTTTACTCCTTGTATCATGCCCTCCCCATGTATCCCTTCAATTCCAATGGGGACAGACCAGCCCCTGAAGGCTGCAAAGGGCCACAAACCTTCCCCAGGTCATGCTCAGCACCCCTCAGTCTGTGCCGTGAAAGTACATCCACAGGAAGATGGTGCGTCTGTGGTCCATCTCTGTTACCCTATCACACTGGACAGCATGGTGTGAGAAAACCCTCATCCCTCTCTCCCACCCTTAATACCCACAGCATCACATAGGAGGAACCAGTCTGCAGATCTTACCAGAGATATGCAGTAAAAACAGAAAATGTCTGTTAAAAAGCCCCAAAACCTGAGATGATTGAACAGAGCCAGATTCCTGCACCCCATCTGACTCTCCCAAGCTCTTAGAGATGAACCCAGACCTGGGGTGGGCAGAGCTGTTTGCCTGGGGAGGGCTGGCAGTAGTTCTGTGTCATGCCAGACCAGGGAGTCTGCCTTTAAATCAGCTCCACTGCTTGGGACAAGCCAGACACATCCATGAGTTGTCAGGGGCTGCAGAGCTGGTGCTTGCTGCATCCCGCTGAAGTCCAAGGTAGCTAAAGTGTGGAGTCCATCAGGGGGTGGCCATTTTCAGGAAGCATGATACGAGTGCTGACACCTGCCTGAGCAGAGGATGTGTAGCGGACAGACTCGTGGGAGGCTCGGCGGAGGCACACACAGCAGAGGAGGCGACGGAAGGTACGACGCATCTCAGCATCTCGGCACGAGTACACTGCGGCATTGACCAGCGAATTGGCTTCAGCCAAGAGTAAGAAATACTTCTCTACAGCCAGGACGTTGCAGGACTTGCAGCCCAGACCATCCAGGAGCAGCACCACCTGGCCTGGTGTCCAGCAGACCACGAATGCCCCTGCAGGATGGAGGCCGAGGTGAGCGGGACAAGCTGTCAGAGGCCTGGCGCCCGCAGCTCGAAGCTCAGGGCTGGAGAGGCCCCCAGAGCTGGGATGGGAACTGCGGATTGCAGTGTAAGAGCTGCCTGTCCTTTTGGCTCTGCAGCATGATAGGCAGACTTGCTAAGAAGGGACACTTTTCCTAACTAGCACACAGTGGCCAGGGCCCTGGATGTTTCTACATGGAGATTTGTTCAGTGAAGGAAAGGAGCTCATTGTGGGACAGGCTGGTTACTCGGGGTAGAGGGGATCATTGGAAGGACTGCTCCTTGTTCTGGGAGGGTGGGGAGTACCCGCTGGAGAGGGTTCTTGCCACCCTCCCCCAGTCCATTCTATGTCCAATAGCCAGCGTGACATTACTCCTGTTAAAAACTTTCACTAAGGTCTTACCATGGAACTCAGAACAAAATCTGACTCCTATCTGAGCCCCTTGAGGACCTGCCAACCTTCTCTCCTCCCAAGCCAGATTTTCCTCTTTGGAGGCTCTGGCCTGGTCCTGCCTTGGGCTTTTCCCTTTCTGTTCTCTCTTCCTTGAACTGATTCCCTTTCTCCGGTATTCAGACCTCTGCTCAGAAATCACCTTCTTGGAAAACATTCTCCACCCAAATCATCTCCCAGGGTGTTCTGGGGACTAAGGGGGAGGTGAGGTCTCTGGCCCTGGGTAGGCTGAGGGCCCCACTCACCCAGGATGATGACAACGGTCTTGACCAGACTGAGCGTAGTCTCTCGGTAGCGGGGGTGGCAACTGACATGCTCCGCCATGCGCTGCACTCGCCGTCTCACGTAGAAGAAAATGCGGGTATAGACGGCCACCATAAGCAGGAAGACGAGCAGGCTGGACAGAGCCCAGACAGCCAGATAGGAGCGGCTGAGCAGGGGTGCCATGCGTGAACAGTGGTCCAGGGCGCAGAGGCAGTGCCAGGAGTGGGCAGGCAGCAGCCCCAGGCCCAGTGCTGCGACCCACACGCCCACAATGAGCAGGACCACGCGGCCACGGGGCAGGCGGCTATGCAGCTGCACTGCCATCACACTGCGGTGCCGCTCCACGGCAATAGCCAGCAGTGTGGCCACTGATGCCGTCAGGCTCGTGTCCAGCAAGCCCTGCCGCAGAAACCAGCCCTCAAGCGAAAGCCGGGCAGTGCGTGGGCCCGTGTGGAACATAAGAAAGAGGTAGGCCACACCAGCGAAGAGGTCAGCCGCGGCCAGGTTGCCGAGCAGGTAGTAAATGGGCTGATGGAAGCGCCGGTTGGAGGCAATGGCTGCTATCACTAGCAGGTTGGTCAGCAGCACCAGCACGCTGACGGTCAGGCCCAGTGCCACCACAACCACATCCTTGGGCCGCCAGTGAGAGCTGAGCTCCTTGCCACTGTTATTGTAGAAGAAGCCGATGGTCTCGTTGTAGTAGCACTGGCCCATGGTGACCATCTAGGGATACAGAGAGAGAGATCCGGGCATGTGGCACTTGGAAGACACAGGAGGAGCCATCAGCCGTTGAGAAGGGATAGGACAGGAAGAGCAAGGGTCTTAAACTCCGACGCGTCGCGGCAAAGCGGCAGTAGTGGGGACCAGGGTGATCTGGAAAAAGCAAGCTCCGTGGGGTGGGGGCAGGGGTAGGGGAGTTGTTTCTTACCTACTAATAAGACCTTTATGAAAGATACCACCCAAGTCAATGACTTGCTTTGTTTTCTAACCTGAAGAAGCCAAACGAAACCTGCAGTCCGATGGTGGGCCACGGACGGCGGCCAATCTGTGACCCGGTTGGGGTTGTGGGAGAGGAGGGTTAGGGCAGGACAAAGGGGTGTGGGCCGTGGGACCCGATGAGAGGGTCAGTTCGGTGCTGCGGCCAGTGCAGGGAGCAGAGACCGGGGGGCGCGTGTGAGCCAGGGTGAGTTCACTTGCTGGGACCCTTAGGGGGAACGGGCGGTGACCCGCCGGACCAGAGAGGGCAAAGAGGCGGCCCTGGAAGTCGGGCGGCGAGGTGCGAGCGGGAGCGCTTCCGAAGCGGGCGGGGCGTCGGGCTGCTCCGGGTGGGACGGAGGACAC